AGATGTGATTCTGTAGCTCTTGCATCCTGCTATGACAGACCTGGGCATTTTACAACCCTGGGGCCATAACCGGCCCTTTGGCTGCCCCTGTTTGGTTCAAATGAGGTAAATCAGAAATAAGAAATCAAGCATAAGTAAGTATATGCATGCACACAATGCAACTGTGTGGCTTTTATTCTGAAGATGGCTTTTTTTCCAATTTAGGCATGTCCATGTGTGCCTATGCACCTTCGCAGCCTTATTGGTTCAGCCCTCCACAACAGTCAGGGTTTAATCATATGGCCCCTGAGAAAATTAATTGCCCAATGCCTATCCCTATATTATGGTCTCCAACTAAATCCTTAACTCAGAAGTGGAAGAGGTGGACCTGAAGTGTCAGCAGTCAATCAGACATCTGTAGTCACTGAGTCTAAGCAGCTGAAATAATGAGGGGCTAGATTTTGGGAGGACATTAGTCCAAGAACCTATCAGCAGCAACGCAGGCTGAGACACAGAGATCAACACAAGACCTGAGAGGAGAGGACAGCAATACCTCTAATCAAGCTAATCACCACCTCCAGGCCCTTGTCCTCTGTTGAAATAACTTTCTGACTTCAATCCTGGATTTTGCTAGTTTTGTTCCTTGCCCTGCATTTAAATCCTTGGCTTGACATTTCAAGTGGCTGGTTGAATTCTCTGGTGTTCCTACCCTGGACTGTAAGAGACAACATTTGTATTTCAACCTCTGCCCTTTGTCCTGCTGACCACTCAAATCTGAAGTTAAAACGTTGGGCTCTGGCAAATCACTCACTCCATTACCAGCTGTTATCGGGAAGTTTACAACATGGTAGTAAAGCCTTTCAAACCTGTAATTACCTGGCATTTTGTTTTGTCTGGCAGAGGATTATAGCCAGGGGAGACAAAAGTGATCACCATGATGTTCCCATATGTATGTGGGTTGTGAGCTTGAAACCAACACCATACTTAGAGCTACTGACAAAAACAAGTTTCAGTTTGGAATGTCGGTGGTTCTAGGCACTCAGTGACTGAACTGTAGAAATATCCAGTCTGTATCAGGATTCCGAAACTAGTTTGGATTTTCAGCACCATCACAATGCCTAAATATTGGTGANAACGCAGAGGCTGAGGACGAACAATTTCCAAGAGCACCGGTGCCAGCAGTGTATTTGGGAGACTTGCCTCTCCAGAGCTGCTGGGCACGAAAGACGCCAATGCCGCTCGGGGACTCCGTGGCCAGCTGTCCGGGAGATTCCGCTGAAGCCGCTTCCGCATTTGCTGGCCGCCTGAGAACACCGCGCCCAGGGTGAGAGCGCTGTGGCTGCCAGGAGCTGGGCAGCTGCCAGGGACTGCGCGTCCCACCCGCTGAGAAATGCCGAAGCCGCTGAGTACGTGACCGGCTGTGAGCACCGTGGCCTGTGATCGCCGGCGCTGCCAGGAACCACGCGACCCGTTTGTTATGGCCGCCTGAGAATGCCACGGCCAAATTGAGAACGCAGCGGCCCAGACTTGGAGGGCGCCGGGGCCGCTGGTGAGTGCCGCGGCCTGAGACCGCCGCGGCTGCCAGGAGCTGAACGATCCACCTGTGGGTGAATGCCAAAGCTGCCGAGACCACCGCGGCTGCCAGGAGCTGAACGATCCACCTGTGGGAGAACGCCGAAGCTGCTGAGAAGGAGGCCGCCTGAGAACGCCGCGGTTTACGAACGCCGTGGCCCAGCAGCCCTGGAGGACGTTTTGGAGGAACCTGCGTGGGGGAACCCCGATACTACTGTGTCTTCCACTAATCATGGCGGTCTAAGCTGGCTGGAGGTCCATCTTGGGGGGGCCCTGACCCCTGCTTTTGTTGCCTGACTACCCAACCGCTGCTGTGCTGTTGGGGGTTTAGGACTAGGGTCAGGCTTAGGGCTAAGGTTAGGGCTAGTTAGGGTTAAGGTTAGGTAAGGGTTAGGGTTACTAGCCCGATGGTCTACTGGCTTGCTGGCGCCGCCTGAGAAGGTTGCGGACCAGTTGTTGAGAGTGGTTTCCCCCTCCCTCTCTCTTCCTCCCCCTCCCCCCTCCAGCGTGGATTCTGACTGCTGGGGAGACCGTGCTCTGTCCATTGTTATCCCGGCTGTTTGTCGACCATGACCGGCCTTCCGACTATCATTTCTATAACTGTTGCCGTTTACGGTTTGCTGGCCTTCTGGCCACCCTTGCCCCTGCCTTTGTCCTCCGGAACATCAGTGGGGAGTGAGCCGAGACTTTGGATTCCATCTCTGGCCCCCCCGGGATCCCCATTTGGGCTCCTACCTATTAGTCTGCGTTTCCATCCCGGCAGAAAGAGAGGGCAGGGGTCGAAGAGGACGTGGGCAGGGAGTGTGCTTTTTAACTCCCCCAACTGTTACAAGGGCACTGTCTACTCCAGACTCTTGGACCTCACTCTCCCTGTTGGAGAAGATTGGGACATCAGTTTCCTCTTCCTTACTAGGACGATTTTGAACAAACTCAATTTTGCACTATTGCGCAACTTTTAATGGTATGGTGAGTGTATGTGGTATGAGTGTGGCTGAATGAATGTGCCCACTTTTATTAACTATATTGCTGTATTTGTGTTTTTAAATTGTTCCATGGGGATTGCTTGGTAGTATGGCTGTGTATGTCTGAGAAGGCTGGGACCACAACCTGGTACCTCCTGCACTGA